GCTACATATATGTCATACTCTATGTATAAGTTTTCTTTGGGTGAAAGAAAATAAGATCAAAGCACAATTCAGTATCCAACACATACATATTGATTCAATGTAAAGATGTGCTGTGCTAGGAAATATGTTATGATACGAATTTTCAATTTGGTCAGCAAAGGAGGAAGTATCTTGGAGTCAAAATTTCCAATGCTCATTTTTTCCACTGCTTTCAGATGATTGTGCCATGAAAACCATTTGGCTTTAAGAACATGGGATAAAGGAGAACAATACAGTGCACTAATCTCTGAAATAAAAAGCATTTTGAAGATGCTTTCAGGAAAAGTAGTCAGTCATATTGATTTGGAAGGCAAAGAAAGCAACTTAGTGATCAGAGAAAAGGCTGAAGAATTTGTACATGGCTCTTAATGCCCAGAGCAGAATGCAGGCTACCCTGTGCATTTCTTTAAATAATGCTTTTCACAGGGAATTCAAGGTAGATACTAATGTTTAGCTAAAATAGAGATATTCTTTAAGCATTTGGGTTTGGGCTATTTTGTGTAAAGCTGAATTGCCTCCTTTCTTGACAGAAATTAAGAGAATGAAGCAGCACTGGTTGTGGAAGTCCCCTACGGGGCATCCCGAGTGACAGTCAGCAGTGTGTGAACTTGGACAGCTACAGGTGGATCATGAGGAAATTCTCTTTTCATAGCAGATGAATTTTACCAGTGTGAACTGGTTGCCACTGTGATGGAAAAATGAAATGCAAAGGGACACAGCCTCTCTCTTGCCATGGCATACAGAACATAGGCCACTTTGGGAGGTCCAGCCTGGAGCTCCCCCTCTCCCTCTTTTCTTTAGCAGTTGGATACTGCTCCAGATGCACTCACTGATGTCCAGTGAAGGGAAGGGATCATTTCCACAGACATGCCTACTCCACCACTGCCAACACAGCCCAGAGTGCTGGGGCTGTCTTTGCCACAGGACCCACTGCTGGCTCATGTTAAACTGGGCTCTCTGAACCTTTTCTGCAGAGCTTTTCCCAGCAGTTCTCCCTCACCTTGTGTTGCTTTATGCCATCCAATTCAAAAGGATTCACCTTTACCCATGGAGAGCATCTTTCAGTGCAACACCTTCAGCTTTTCCTTCTCATCTTGAGAAGGACCCATAGGTCATGTGAAGAGAAGATATGAGACAAAGCAGGAAGGAACACCGGCCCCTTTCTGAAGATAGACTGATTTTATTTTTTAAACACCAATAAATTAAAGATATCAGTGTTTTAGACATATTGCCTCATTAATACACAGAGCAGAGAGGGGATTTAGCAAACAGATGAAAGGCTGGCTGCTGGTACTTCTCACCTTACATCTTTCTACATGACTGTGAAAATGTTTCATCCTAAAAAACAGATCCTACAGCGCAGAGGTGTATTTGTCTCCAGGTCCATAGACCCAAACTTTTTATCCCTGGGGTCAGTGAGCAGTAAACAAGGGTTTGAATTCACTGCACTGCTACGTGTGCATGAAACTGTGAGTAGACGAGACAAGGAGAAAAAAATAAAAAAGTATTTTCATTCCTTCCTGTTTAAGCTCAGAACCATTTCTGTGTCTTAAAAAGACACTGGATAAAAATTCATAATGTAAATGCTCTCTCGGTAGAATGAATGAGTCATAATGATAGAGCCATTCTATAGCCACTTTTTCATATTAGGACATTAGGACATTCTTATAAATGTTTGTTTTTAAGTATGAGAAGCAATGGAAAACTTTTTAAATTAAGTGGCTAGAGTTATTAATTAAAAATACACAAACAAATAATATAACTAATAAACAATACTTGAATATAATGTAAAGAAATATTTTGATTTAGGACTTAAAAATGAACTAAATCTAGTGTACAGAATTTATTAAAAAGATTAATAATTACATGGAATTGCTATTTTAATTGCTTTGCTAATCATAGAGGCATTATTCAAAGTCTTTTAAGATGAACAACTTCATTTGCATGTGTGCTGCTCCTAATTAGTTTGATGCTTTGTGCTAATAGAATGGTCCCACAGCGAGAATGTATCTTTAGAGTATTTGTAACAAGAAATTTATTAAAGTATAGTCTTCTACATTTGGTTATGGTGGAAGAGTTGGTGACCTTGTTGAACACTGAATGCTGTTACTGCTTTTTCATGACTATGATAAAGGAGGGAAATGCATTGTCCTTAGAGAGGGATGCAAAGAGGTGACAGGAGCCTATTATGTAGTTAGGAGAAAATAACCATTAGCACTTTGTGAAAACGACATTTAGCAAAAAAAAAAATATTAAAAACAATGAAAACTACAGACTGTTGAAATTCTTATCAATAACATCCTTGTTTTCCCTAGCAACTAAGAAAAAATGAAGAAACACAGTAAGTTGGATTATACAAAAAGGCCTTTCAAAGCTTTGGTTCCAGGCATGAATAACCAGGAGAGCAAAGCAGAGCTGGTGAATTCAAGGCCAGGTTGGATGGGGCTCTGGGCTACGTGGTGCAGTTGAAATCATCCCTGCCAGGGGGGTTTGAACTGGATGATCTTCAAGGCCTCATTCTACCCCAATTCATTCTATGATTTTATGAGGAGACTCCTCCAGAGAAGTATTTGAAAACATTAAAAAGATAAACAAAACCACCATGGTGCCATTAAAGTTTTCAACCTCTTTTCAGTTTAACAGAAAGCAAGTTAACATTGAATTAAATATATATGCCTATTATTACTTTGAATAAGGATTTTATTGTTATTGCATTGGATATTTTAATAAACTTCATGCAGTAAACATAGAAAAGAACATTATAAAAAACTCATTAATTTTAATTAGTCCTGTTATAAATTAAGTGACACTGCTCAGCTGCCTAGCAGTAAGTAAAATGCCATTTCTGAATTCACATGTAAATAACTGTGAGTGACAAATAAGAATATGATGATAAAGGAATATATAATTACTGCTATTAGCATTATACCTAAAAAACAATTGAGGACTGAGTTGTACCTGTTAAAATAGAAAGCTCCTTTGAAGAGAAACACCAAAATATTTTTTCACATGCTTATATCAATCCAGTTTATTATATGTTTAATGAATACATAACACAAATCAGTATAGAAAACAAGGCACTAAGAAACAAAGAAAAATATATTCATTTTTCTGTTGATTACATGCAATGAACTCTATCTTATGGTGATACAGATTTTAATTAGTCTGTGTTTGTTGAATGAGATGAGAGGCAACAGCTTTTTATTTAAATTTTGTTTTTTTGTTGATGTATTTCATTTGGTAATTGTTGGAGTTTGTGAGTAAATATGAACCAAAATTCTGTAAATATGAAATAATTTCCTAATTAATTTTTCAATGTAAAGTTGCTTAGATTAAAAAATGCACGTGCTTAAAAAGTAAAAATATTTTTAAATATTTTAAAGTAGTATAATTTGGATTGGTTTGCAGTTTCTTCAAATCTTATTTTAATAAGTGTAAACAGAATTTATTAAAATATTATAATTGTTATACAGCTATCTTGTTTTATGGTTAATTTGATCCAAAAGTAGTAGTTTTCAGTTTTCAGCAAATTGAAGGAGTTGTTAGTAAACTGAAGGATGTTATACATACTTATTTATGTATTAAGAGCTCCAAACTTTTACTGCTGCTTACATAGTCACTGTCTTTACATGAGATTGCCTGTGTCACTGTCATACAATTGATATTTATTAAAATGTCGTCACATATGTTGGTACTATATCGCCAAAGTTATAAAGTATTAAATAATTATTTCCTTCTTGTACTGCTCGGAAAATAAATACCAATAATGGTGTCAACCAGTTTTAGTTTGGTTGTTTGTTTTTTCCTTTTTTTCAATTTTAAATATGTTAATTTTCATTGGTCACATCACTGACATGTTAATTTGTTTTTTGATAATGGGATTAATTAACCCTATTTGCTCAGGAGTGTAAAATAAATAGAAATACAATGGTATCAGGCTCTGTCTACAGTGGCCTCCTCTGGTCATTTCTGTAGTGTGTCCATGGAAGACACATGTTTTCTACTGATTTTCCTCTCCTTTCCTTCCCTAAAGAAGTCAAAATAACATGAAGCCATTGTCCTTTCCAAAGTGCTCTAAGCCCGTCTGCATTAGGAAGGTCCTAATTGCTTCTCACCACACCAGAAATACCATCATGTCTTACAGGTTATTTATACTGCAACACTTCTGCCCCTAAATTCTGCCAATTTTCACCATCACATCAGGTCACAAAATACCGAGGTATTTCTCTGGCTGTGCAGCAAGGATAGATTCAGCTGGGTTGCACATGGAGCACTGTGAGCCAGTAATGCCCTTCTCATCTCTGGGCCTCTCGTGCTGAACTAGCTTTGTTAGTGTGCATCCACTCTCAGTTATGGGTCATAAAGCTATGCCCACATTAAACCTGGTCTATAACTGTTCCTGATTACCTAGGGTGTTCTGTCTGAAAAAAATTTAGAAACAGAGTAATTCAGTCATTTTCAAATTGCTCTATGTTGATTTTCTTGTCCTTAAAACCTGACATCAAATCACCATTGCTTGATGAAAGTGGAGAGGAAGAAAATCTGTGCATAGCAGTTCCAAATGGAAGTACTTCAAGTAAAAAGATATGAATGCTGCTGGGAGCACTTGCAGCAGACGGATCTGGCTATAGATTGATCTCTTTTGTTCAAGCCAGGCCTGCTGTCAGCAATAGCTTGTCTCTCTTTCAGCTGATTTTAAAAGCATCACCCAGAAAATTAGCAAAATGAAAAGGGATGCTTCTCCTTTCTGAATCTCACACCATGCATGTACAGAGCTTTGTACGGTCTGGCAAAAGGATGCAAAGCAATGAATTCACAGGTAAAGTTTAAGAATCCACAATGACTTCCAGCTGGGAAGTACTATTAAAATTTAAAATGCTTGTGAAGATTAAACATGGTTACCTATGGGCCCTGAAAATGGGGGAGGGAGCAATTCAGGAAGGGCTACAGTTGCTGCTGGTAAAATGAATGATTACCAAGTAAAAATAAATGCAGGAAAGACAGTTTAATATTCACTTTTGAGGACAGAGTAGTAATGACAGTGTCCCTGTGCATCATTAAGCTCCCAATCCAGATACTGATGGCAGGGGCAGAAGAATTTTATTATCTTGCTTTCTGACACATAAAAGCCAAGTTTGATGGAAGACTTTGTCTGAAAATTATTTATTTTAGCTGTTCCATCAGATTCCTTAATTTTGGTAGAATTCAAAGCTTTTGGGAGTGGGCATGAATAACAAGTAAGCAAGAAATTTAGTTGGTAATGCTCATTTGCCTTTTTCTCTCTTTGGTAACAAATGGTACAAACAGTAACACCAACACATACATTGCTGCAGGATGCTCTCAAACTTCAATGTGGATTCAAATGAAAGGGAAAAGAAAATCAGAATATATTCTACTTGTAAGCTTTCTGTAAAAAACAGATGAGATGCCATCCTAAGAACTATAATTTCCATGTTCTTTCTTTTCTACAGAGATGGAAAGGGATCATTAGGAATATATATAGCCCAGCAAGCAAGGGACTGTTGGATATTTCTGAAAATAATACATAATAAATCAGTGAACAAAAGCCATGAAGATTCCACTGTTCAAAATATTGTTTTTAAAGCCTTATGATGGGTGGTCTAGCTTAAAAAGAAAAAAAATCCCCCCAGAATAAAAAAGGTTTCTTCCCAGAAGCATAGCTCTCTCATTATTTCAAATCTCAGGTTTAAGGCTTGAAGAAGCAGCAGTAGGGTTATTATCCTCTGTAAGATTCAGTCTCCTGTGACAATTTTTTGACACACTCTAACAGGATAACAAGGCATGGAAGGCTGACACAGGAGGATGATAATGCACTTGAGATTGCCTTTTGAGTAATTATGTGATCCCAATTAAATTAGTTTATAATGTCTTAAAAGGCAGGTTAAAATTCAGTATTCATTGTCCATCTTTCTCTATGAGTTGAAGTCCTGCTCAGTACACTGCATAATTGCCATGAAAGCAATGATTAGAGCTTCACTGCCAGGATTCATTGCTGAGCTTCCTTTGCAGTGCTCACTGCTAAGGCTGCTCCCCAGTTTTTCTTGTGTTTGAATGCATGAGGTTCTGGTAATAAATGTCATTTAGGATATATGTCATTTAGGATATAAGTAAAGGTACAGTCACCCCAGAGACAACTTCAATCCTAATTAAGCATTTGCAGTACTTCTAGAAAAGAAAAGGTTACTTATGCTTGTTCTTCTAATGACATATGGATCTGGACTCTGCAGTCAAATACACCTTTTGATCATAATCAGAATATGGGTGTACTTTGGGAAAAGCTATTCTTTGGTTAAAAATGAACTGCTTTACCAATTTTATCTCAGAAGAGTTTTTTGCACTAGTATTCCAGAAGTACTTTTTAAAGGTAGAATTATGCAGGCATTTTTGATTATTTTTTCTGCATGAAGTACACGGATTATTTGTTCTAAAGATGGCAACTGACAGTATACTGTTTCATTTACTTTAAAGAAAAGGATTAACATATCTTAGCTACTTTCCCTTTTTATTGAGAGCAAATGACTTGTGCTTGAATATATGCATATCTGCAATGTAATTATTTTGATCAGTGAAAAATAACTAATGTAGGCAGGTTAGCAAGAAATGTAAGCTATAATCAGTGAGTTAATTTGTCTTTGTAATTAATTGTGCACTCCTATGGTTCTCTCTTCTTGTTTCTACAACCCCAAAACACCCTTGCAGTTAGCATCAGTTATATAATTTCTCATTCAAGTAGAAGCAATTGGCCCATTGGTCCAGCAGTGCATTTTCAGCTCAGATATGAGAGGATAAGATGGCACCCAGCTGTTCAATAGCAGATTTGATGCAACTCCCTCTAGGCATGCAGTGTCAAATTGGTCAAGACTCACAATTATTATTTGGCTTAAATGATATCTTTCTATGGTTTGAATAAAAAATATCAGAGCTCCATCAACCTGCCTGTACACAGGAGGGTGAACAATGTTTATCTCTTAGAAACCCCTCAAGCCATGCCCAAGCTAATGAGACCCCTACACTTCATTGGTGTTTCTGCCCAGTTCATCAAACTGAAACCACCAAAGAGGGAAATGTGAAAAGATTAATGACAAAAGAAAAGGCATGAGTATTCAGTAAAGTTTGAGTACTTATTTAAATTTGCATCAAATAACACATTTGTGAGATTTGATATTGATTCTTTCTTATATGCAAATTGCTCCAAAATTATTTTGTTGATGAAGGAAGGCATTGATAAACTGTATGTGCCTTATGGCCTGAGATGGTCAATGCCTTCTTCTGAAAAGGAGGGTGGAAACTTATCATTTGAATGACACTGTAAAACTGACTATTTAAATGTACTAAGTTCTCATAAAGTTGATTTCAGCAGTTTCTTTTGTGCATATATATATATAGTATATGTATAATCTCACAAACATGACATGGCAATGTGCAATACTGTTCAAGCAATTGCTATCTACAGTTTTTCACACCTTTTAGAAAGATTTCATAATCCCAAATATCCCATTAGACCAAACAAAATAATCACAAGAGTGTATGACCAAAAGCTTTTCAGAGTATTAAGTATTTGGGCTGCACAAGCAGAAACTTACTCAGACTCAGATTCAGTGAGAGGAAAAGGCTCCAGTGGCTCAATGACTTGCTATAATCCTTGATCATGAATTGCTACCATTAATTTAATAAGTCAATTGTGAGTTGAAATCCAGAGGAGAAGCATCTTGACATCTTCAAAAATGTTAAGAGTTGGAAAGTCAATTTTGGTCAGATTGTTTCCATAAATAAATTTGCAATTCTATTAAAAATAAATTAAATCTATAATTTTAGGAGCACATCCAGTGTGTGCAGCTGGAATTTTGTGAAGGAAAGAGCATGGTGTAACATTTGAGTTGATATAAGATTGGCCTTTCCCCAAGAGAAAATTATAGATTTTTCTACCAATCACAAAGTAACACAGAGTTTGCCAGACTTAAAGTGCTTAGCAATATTCTTGGCAAAGGCTGATATATAATCATCTGTCAATTATACTACTGCTGTGTGCTGGAAAAAGAATTAATTTTGCCTCCATTAAAATTTGATCTCCTTAATCCAGGCCTTGATATCTTTTTTCTAGAGGAATACATTTTTCTACACAGCATAAGGTAGAGATTTCAAGCTTTTCAGATTATTCCCACCATGCATTTTCTGGAGTAAAAATAAAAGGGGAACATTTTGCTATTCAGGCTGAAAAAAAGACAACTACTAGAAGCATAATTTGAATTTTCTTTCAGCAGAAAAATGCATCAGTTTTAGTGCTAGCCTGGCTCAAAGGTGGAAATCCAAGATCATCCAAATCTTAAAGGAAAAAAGATGCATTGCTTCACAGGGATCAAAAAGTTGTCTATTGCAACAATAAAACACATTTGTGATAGAAACAGAGTTTTGGTCCTTCTAGAATTAAAAAAAGTATTTCCATAATATCATTTATGTCTCAGTAGCTATGGAAAGCTTTGTGTTTTTCTGATTTTCTCTCCACAAATGTGAGCATCCTGCTCTATTCATCTCTAATGAACTAAATTATTTTCTACTTTAAGCTTGAGCTTCATGTAGTTGAACAGTTTTTGATTCAGCCATGATGGTTCCTTCTTAAAGTTCTGATCCAACATTCTGCATTGCAAAATATTAATATGTTCTCAATATAGTGTCATCAAGGAATTCAGAACTCTCCCAATCTTCCCTTTTTTTCAAAATTTACTATTTCCTCTAATAGTCTAACATACCAGTTGGAGTTCTAAATTTTCTTTCTTCAGGCTTCTTGTCTCTGTTGTGATATTCTTTCTTCTCTTTTCCTTGAGAACCATGGGGCCTCATGAATCAGAATTAAGTAATTCATTTCAGTGATCAGAGTCAAACTGAATAGGTGTATTTGTCACTCCCTTTTGCAAGGAAAAAAAAACCCAATAAAAACAACTTCAAGCAGTGCCAGACATTTTGTGCATTCTTCATCTGGCGGCTGCCTCTTACTCCAATCATGTATTTCTCTAATCAATAGGAAATCTCATCTTCGTCTGTAGGATTCCTCCCTTTATCTTTCTTCTATTCTACTAAGAAAATGAAAATTCAGTGTTACTTCTGGTGGGGTTTTTTTTGACACAGGCACACAGAAAAACCCCAGTAGCTAACTAGAATATAAAAAGATTATAACTAAATTTTAAATGTAAATCTGGAGTCTCTGTTTTAGAAATGGAAAGAAAAAAAGTTATGGAGAAAATTTCTTGCTCTCTCAGTATACTGAAATAATTTGCTTAATAATCTATTTAATTTCAATCTCACAGACTATTAGTAGACTTACATAAATTTAACTTTAAATCCTAGAATTTTATTTGCTTGAACACTATTGTATATGGTACAGAGTTCCACAGACTATTTACATACTATGTAAAGTAGGACCTCTTGTTTTGAATCTCTTGCATTTTCATTTTAAATGACCTCCTCTCCATCTGGCATTGAAAAGGGCTATAGATTTTATTCTATATGATTCATGATCTTATATATCACAGGATGCAAAGTTTTGCTTTTCTTCCCACAGCAACTACAATTAGTCTACATAGTCTCTTAAAATAAAATCTGCTGTTTCTGTCTCAAGATACAGTTTTGCTGTACTTTACTGAATTTTTTTAATTCACTATATTTGTGATATTAGCTAAAATAGACTTGTACATCAAAATCCCATTGCAAATCACTGAGACCAGCTATTATCAAAACTTGCTCCTCGCCTGTTCCTCTCCTTGCAAGATGAATATCATCTAGCATCTTTTGCCATAGATTGTAAACTTAATTGTACCAATAGCATGCTAGTTTAAACTGTCTTCTTGTTAGTAACATACCTCTTTTGAAAGGAAAGAAAATTTAAGATATTTAGAAAAACTGGGAAGAAGGATTTCTCCCTTCCTTTTCCCTAAGCTTTCCTTCTGTCCTTCTTAAAGACAGTGGCTCTTTGAACACTCAGCTGCATCTCAGGTCTTGCTATGCTGTGTCACACAGGACTGTTGGCCACTGAGGATCTGCAGGACAAGGACACTCATGTATCCAAACACACACAGAGAGGTGCTGTTTCCAGGCTGTAGCAAAATGTTTATGGTTGTACTTGATCTCAGAATCATTTAGGTTGGAAAAGGCCATCTATCTCTGCACAAAAGTCATACCACTGAGGCTGGTGCCAGTTAAGGAAGCAGCTGAGGGAGCTGGGAGTGTTTAGCCTGGGGAAAAGGAGGCTGAGGGGAGACCCTGTTGCTCTTTAAAATTACCTGAAAGGAATTGTAGACAGCTTGGGGCATTGGTCTCTTCACCAAGGGTGAACTGATAGGCTGAAGGGAAATGTTCTCAAGCCACACCAGTGGAGGTTTAGACAGGATATTGGGGAAAATTTCTTCACTGGAGTGGTAGTCAGGCATCACAAAAAGCTGGCCAGAGCAGTGGTAGAGTCAGCATCCCAGGAAATGTTCCAAAAAATCTTGTAGATGTGGCACCTGGGAACATGGTTTAGTGGTGAACTTGGCAACGCTGGGTTAATTGTTGGACCTGATGATCTTAGAGGTCTTTTCCAACCTAAGTGATTCTGTGATTCAATGCAATTTTTTTCTTCTTCTAGGTGGGTCATTAAGCTTTTGGTGAACCTCACCTAATTTCAGGAAGTTATCTGATCCTTACTCTTCACAATTTACTGTAATTTATACTAGTTGTGTGTAGCTGCATTAGTCTCTTTTCATTCCCTGAAAAAGTTAAACTTGAGGATTCACGTCCCTAATGTGCAAGTTAATGAAGTTTAGAATATACTGGGGAACTAATATATACTTGCTGTTCTCCATGCTTTGGTTACAGTTTGTCTTTAAATAAGAGAAAAGAACTAAAGATCTTTGTTTTGGTGCAGTTCACTGCTGGCATCCTTGTCTTACCTTCTTGAAGTGTTCTTCAAATGTCCTTGTTAGCTACCCCCAAGAACAAGTTAGCTGTATAATAAAGGAGGAGAAATACACAACATTTGACTACAACAAAAGGAAAAGAAAGAGCAGATTGAGAAACCTGCCCTTTTACACACCTGAGCACAATCATACACAAACTGCAGTGAAAAACTTGGTTTCCCCTTGCAAGTGAACTCCCTATGAACTCTGGGGGATGGCTTCCGGGGTGAATGTCTGCAAATGCCTTCCCAATGCACATTGTTGGTATATATAAAAAATCCCCATTATGTGAATTTAAGTAACTCACAAAATCTGTTTATTGTTTAATATTATGTCATCACTAATTTTATGCTTCAATTAATTTTCTGCCATATTTTCTCATGTTATATGAGAAAGCTATTTGTATGAAGTTATCTTTTGAAAATTAATTTCATTTTCCTTTCTGAAAAAGACCATCTGCATGAACACGCTGAGAAAGTAAAAGGAAAACTTCACATATTTAATTTTATCAATCAGAATTATTCATATGATTAAGCTTTGTAGAGTTTAAATAACAAACTGACTTGACATGCCCCTAACTTGCATAACCATTGTCTCAGGAAAGTAACTTAGATGCAGACTGTCTGACTGTGTGTGGAATTAAGATTAGAAAGCCTTGCCAGAGGTGGGTAGAGGGGGTAAGGAGATAGTCTTGCATTCTTTCTCATTGCACAGGGTTTATTTTTCCAAGGTGGGTGGTTGCCAGGAAACAGTAAATACAACTGAAGAAATGGATTTATTTGACGTGAATCCCTTAAGTGAGGCGAGAGAACAGAACACATGCAATGACTGAGCTGAGGATCAGTTTGAGCAATCACATTTGTTCAGGTGATTGCTGAGAAAGCCACACACAATATTTTATTTTTGCATCTTCTTCTGCCCTGTTTTCATCTCCTGCAAGAAAGGAAGATGAGTACAGTGCTGGCAGCACCACAATCTTTGGAGGCAGATTTTCTGGGGTGATGCCTGCCATCCAAGAAACCTTTATTGTTCTCACATGGTGGCAGGGAGCCTGGGGGAGAGAATCTGCTTGACTGTGCCAGTCAGGTACCAGGGTGCTCCCCACAGCCCCAGCTCCACTCCCACCTCTCTGACTCCTTTCTTTCCCATCCTGTTCTTGCCTTCTCCCTTTTCCTCCTGCCCCCGCTTACAGCCATGGAATTAATGTCAATTTTCTTCTAGCTCTGCTTACACAACATTCTGTGAAATATTCATTTCCCATGCATGTATTTCATCCAGACTGAAATTTGCTGGATGCAAAGCATATATCCTTCTTGGCATTTGTTTTTTTTTTTTTTTTTTTTTTTTTTTTTTTTTTTTTTTTTTTTTTTTTTTTTTTTTTTTTTTTTTTTTTTTTTTTTTTTTTTTGGTACAATCAGGCGCTATTCTTGTTTGTTTCCATGCAGCATCACAGCAATAAATATAAATAATAAGAGTATGTGAAAATTATCCATGATTAACTGTTTCTGGGGGAAGATTATCACTTCTTTGGGATTCACCCCTCCCATAAGAAGTCTATCATCTTATAGACATATTAAATCATTGAAATGATTCAGAAATGTTAAAGCAGAAAGATTTCAACAAGGGAAGCTGAAATCTGCAGCTCCTTAATAACTGCTCTGACACTTTTATTTAAAGATTTTTTTCAAAATACATTTTAATTGGTAAATTTTGTTTTAAAACTTGAGGCTACCCTACCCCAGTAATTATGTGTACTATGAATTTGGAAGTGTGCTGGAGAAAAGAATTAGTGCAATTACCTTCACTGTAAAAACAGGTATCTGTGGACATATAATTTAAGACACCACTCAAAAATATTGCACTTTCTTTTTTATCTATTCATTTTTTAAGATGATAATTGGTGAGAAATTCTTGTGTTATGGCTCTGATTTATGTTTGTTGTAAATTTACAGACACATAATATTATAGGAAAGATGTTCTGAGCTGGGTAAAAAGATATGTCTACCTAAGCAGCTAAAGTTATTAAAACTCTGTTGCTCCCATAGTTATCGTATTTTATTCAAAGGTTCTCAAAAGTTTAGACAGAAGTTTTGATCTAAGTAGAGATAATATCATTTATCTATTCAAAAATTACTTGTAATTTATGAAGATTTGAGAAAAGTAGGACATTCTTGACTTTGAGTTATTAAAACTCAGAAATATCAGGTTTAAGGATGAATAAAAGATAAAATTATTCTATTAAAAAGAAAAGTCACATGAAGACTACAAGACATCAACTTTTTCAGAGAAATTGGGAATTCAAAAGTGTAAATATATGTTGTACTGTTTACACATCTACACCAGTTCTGACAGTAGTGCATGGCCTGTTTTACTGCACACATTTTGCAGAGTAAGAGAGATGATTTAGACAGTACACTTATAGAGCCCAGGCTCCTGAGAAAAGTGGAGGAAAGCCTAACTTCTTTTGGAGTCTGGCTAAGAACTGGAGCTGAAAAAGTCACCAATTCCTGTAGGGGTACCTGCCCTTCTGAGCCAGGAGTTCATGCTATGGAAATCTGGCAGATGCTTGCCCTGAGTAAAGTGGATGTCCACCAAAGTAAAGAGATGTCTTAGAGGTATAATTTACCCCAAGTGACTTTCCCTGTGTCAGGGCATGTTCTGTCAGGGGCACAGTGACCAGAAATCAAAATTTCCTGGATTGCAACCCTGTATTACTTCTCTCAAATCCCATTACCTTAAACATTTACAACCTTTACAGTAAGATTTGCCATAGGGAAATGTTATTGAGGCAGGTCACACTTCAAGCCTACCAATTCTGACAGTATCCTTTCCGTGCATTTCTTTTTCAAAGGATCAGTGTGAGCAGCTGCCACTTCCTATCGTGTAAGAACACTTGCTGATCTTACTACTGCCAACTTCTTCACCGCATTGCTCACTGAAAATGTGGTGACAAGCTGGTGCTGTCAGGAAATCATGTCCTCTACAAATATCTGACTTTACCAAAGCACAAGCTCATACCAAATCCATGCTATATTTGCATCATATAAATATATATGTTCCAATACAATACAAACAGCCATGGAAAATCCACTATTTTCATGGTGTGTATGCACAGTTGCAGAAAATAACCTTTATATCATTTTGCTGTTGTTATTTTTGTTGCATTTTCTGCTTTTGTTTTCTTGCTGTTATAAAATATTACTTTGAATTAAAACTATACAGCAAATTGCCTATTTTGTGTATGCACGTGTGCATGTACACAGATCCCTGAAATGACAAAGAACCGAAAAATACTGCCAGAGTTGTTTCAGTTCCTTTGATGATCTCAATTTATTATGGTGTTTATCATGCTTTTCAGAATAATACCTATATTTTAATGTTGTTTTTATTATCTTTTCAATATTTAAACATGAATCTTTAAACTTTCAAAAACAGGTCAGTCGTTATTGCTGTTTTCTTAATAGGAAAATGAGGCAAAGGAAGACGAACTAATGTACTGACGGTCTTACAATTTTGGTCATGGTGTTTGTCATGACAGAAATTCACTTGCAGTTTCCTACACATGGCAAAGTGTTGCTCTTCTCCTTAGCTCTGACTTCAAGGACTTGAGCATTTCTCTGGACTGTCCAGTGTAACAATTTCTTAAAAAAATATTTAGGACAAGAATCACACAGAAAGTTGTGGTCTGAGCAAATACTGTGGATATTTTACTGACTTTTCTGAGGTGTTGGTTAATTACATTTTTTACCTGATTATAATGTCTGCCATGATCTGCTCTTGTCAGAGGTCTTCAGGGTCCTTGCAACGGTCATGAGGCAAATGAAGGAAACTTTGGACCGTCTCTCACAAATGTCCTAATTATTTCTAGAAATAATATTTCATCTCTGTTTAGATCAGAGAAGGTGTTTATTTCCAGGGAAGATAATTCATCCACATTTGTATGTGTTTCCTTGTTTAGACAGGAGGTTTTATGAAGGCATCAAGCATCTAGAGCAGCATTCATTCCCTGCTTCTGATATTGCTCTTTCCCTGGTGTGTTATGAGAACAAGGCTGTGCATTCTTTCACTCATTTTCCTATACCTGAAATAAGGGAAACACAATATCACAGCTGTGCAAAAGAATTCCTCAGTCTGCCTGTGCTGGAAAAGCCCCTATAGAATATTGACTTCAATAATCTGGAAATGTGGGTCAGCAGAAATGAAGCAGGTGTGGGATGGTGGAAATGCATTGAAGGGAATATGACAGGAGGGAAGCTTAAGAAACAGAGATTCCTGTTTACTCTGGCCCTTCATTCTACCTGCTAATCCCAAACCCACAGATCCCAATAGCATTCTTGATCTGTCCATAACCAAGAAATCTATTATTAGCTGCCCTGCCAGATCCTTTAGATCCCAATCTGTTCCAATAGTTACTCCCATTTGTAATTAAAATCACAGCTATATCTATACAAGCAGCCACATGCCATAGAATATATGATTATAGCAGTTTTATTCCCTAGTGGCATTTTCTAAGGCTTAATTTATAAAATAAAAATAGTATTTGAAATTGTGTTATGAAAAAATATGATTTCAAAATACGTGTTGAAAAAAAAGATACTTCTACTAGAAAAGAAACTAAACACAACCACATGAAAACTTAATACACGAATATTTTCCCCACAACTTTCTTTTACAAATTCCTGAATATCTTTTTAATTTGGAAAATATATGTCAAATCAGGAGTCTCTCCAGGTCAGGACTGACAAGAGTGTTGCAGTTCAGTGTGCTTAATTATCTAACATAAAGAAGAGAAAGCTCAGTCTGTGCACATTTCATGTTCATGCACCTTTTCTCTGGTTAAACTATGACACTTGCTCTTACTTCAAAGATTTTTTTAATAGAAAAGCCAGTTATCCTCCACTGACTTTTGGCACAAACATCAAATGTTTCTGACAGCAGATGCTGACCATGCATTACACTTTTACTTTTTCTAATAGAGTATATATAGCAAATGGCTTTAGCATGATTCCAAAGCAATTTAAACTACAGTCTAATTTTAATCAACTAGGAGAAAAAAATGCAACAAAACCAACAACCAAATAAAATCCATTCTTAACAATTCTTTTCAATGAATTAATCAGTTTCCATCTCAGTTATTTGGAAGAAGAACTTAAGATAATTCAATTACTGTAAATACTTAGGGAAAACTAATGATTTTTTTTCAGAAAATTGCAGAATTAATTAAAACATCTCTAGGCTAAATATAAATATACAGAAAAATGTATTTGCTTGTATTTAAAAACATCTGCAAAAGCAGCCGTAAATGTGTATTTTTAGGTTTTCACAAATGTAGTAAAGCCCATTTATACAATCAGACTTAAAGTGCTTATGATGCTGTAGTGTGGTGTGCAGTGAAAACAGAGAAAGTATAAGCCAGCAAGAATAGTAGAAAAAATTTGTCTTCTGAGCTCTCCTGAGAATTTATTCTGAACCTTGCAGGCTGCCCTTATGCAGTGCCACACTACCAGCCCTGTGTGGTGCACGTCCAGCTCATGATCTCATTGCCACAAATGTTTGTCTTGCTCATTCATACTTATATTGGAGAAACTCAAAGAACATTCTGATATAAAATTGTGAAGTCCTACTGGTTTTGTTGATATCAATGTGCTGTAAAATAAGGAATGCAATGCCAATTTGTAATTCTATTTGTCTGATAACAGTTGAGTTTAAAGGCTTGGCTTGTGCAGTGGGTTGATGGCAGCCAGCAGCCATCATCATTTGTATAACTGTTCACTCACTCCTTCCCTATGGTGGGATAAGGGAGACTATAGGAAGGCAAAAAGAGAAAAAACTTGTGAGTTCAGAAAGTTTTACCACTTACTAAAAAGCAGAGTAAACTGCAAAAGGAGAAAGCAATCACAAACAATCCCTGGAACTGAGTGTACAGTAAGAAAGGGAGTGAGCAACTGCAGGAGACTTGGAGATCACAACTGCATTAAACACTGCCAAGGCTACAGAAGGAACTTGCCATAAGCTACCACAGCAGCAACTTGAGATGTGCAGAGAAGAAAGGAACTTGTAACAGGAAGGCCCTAATTCCAGGCCTGTCAGAGGTGAACACACTCAAGTTAATGCATCCAGACAAAAATTCCCACTGTGGCAGATTGCAGGAAACGAAGCAATGCTTCAGGATCCACAAGGTGGTGATTAACTTCTACTTGATCTCTACCTCTCTCCTCTCTCTTTCTGCCCCTTCCCCTTTCCCACTTCCCATTTATTTCTATCTTTCTACCTCACATTTACTGTTAAAAACCCCTGTACTTAAACTATGATCTCATTTGCACCTTTTATTCAGGCAGAAGCATCTTTCAGTAAATTGC